ATGATAAAAAAAATGGAAATGTATGTACACGTTACAAGCCTAAATACCGTCCCCATGATCAATAGGGAAGTTTACTTCTAAACTTTATTTGTAATGTGCCATCTTATAAAGTTAAATTTCCTGTTTGAATAGGTTCTCAGTTCAACTGTGGCAAATGCCCTCCAGACCCAAGGGAGACATGACACAAAATCGATAGAGCTGTTCATAACACAGTTTGATCAGTTTTTCGATTGTCTAAATGTGTCTAACCCGCATAACGGAAAGCGAAAGAGGAAACCAGCCTTAGAGCCCTACATATCACCAGATGACTGGCGATTCAAGGTAAAATTGGCATTTTTTGAAAACTATACTATTAGACTTTGGTTTCCCCTTCAACTCAAATGTGAGGTGATCAATCTCACTGATTTTAGTGACTACCTCAGTCTCTTTTGGTAAAGGGAAAAGTTAAATGTGAAATTCACAGAAATCAAAAAATGTTGAAATACCTGCAGTTTCAGATTGCTCAGCCTAAAATAAAAACTTGACCTATTCCACATGAAGTAGATTGAAAGTTAATGATCAATGACACTGTTTTAAGCCTTTTCAGCAACAATCACATTTGCTGCCAAAGTAAGAATCACTTGAAATGATAGCCTACAAGTGAACTAAATTGTAACATACCTGCCTGCCTGGTAATTACATGTACATGTAATACATGAACATTCCCCAGTTTTTACAAGTTGAATACACTGTCAACAGTTTTTAGCAAGTTTCTTTTTTCATATGATGCGGTATACATGTAATCACGACAGAAATTTGTGGCATAGGCCTTTAGGCCTCTAATAAGAAAAGCAACTTTAATACTTTTTTTGGTTTTGCCCTTATCTTCATTGCCTTCCTTTGGTTGCATCCCTTCCACAACTGCTCCGGTTGACTGATCTGCACCCGTTTTGCCTGTCATGTCAGTGAAAGTTTATAACTGAAATTAGTAAAGAGTGTGGAATTTCCTGCATGCTCCATTCATCCATTGATATCCCATTCGTACATGATACTTGCTGACATTCTTAACATGTAAAAACCGATGCACAGAAGTGTTGCCACCGCTTGAAAAATGGAAACTCAACTTGAAAAGAAAAAAAGAAAATGTACCAAATCTTGAAAATTAAAAAAAAATGCAAAAACATGCAACATGTAGAAATATTTACATTTTCCACAAAAAACCCAAACTTTTTAAAAACTTTCATTTTTACTTTGTAATTTATTTAGCATTTTAATATATATGGTGTATGTAAGCAGTTTTGTTAATAGCTTACGCAAGTTCATGTAATAATTTGCTTAGGCTTGAAAAAACGTAAAAAAAGGTTGGATGGCAATCTTTCCCAAATAAAATGGCCACACTGGTTATTACACAAAGCTTTATCATGATGTACGTAGGCTTATTTTGGAAAGCAACTTACTTCTCTTTTTTTTTGCTCCTTTTTCTTTCGCCTTTTGGTAGCGTTTCCTCTGCAAGTCCTTGTTTAGAGGACAACTGATGTTCCAGCACTATCTCCAGCTGGTCTTGTCTTTCATGTCTGCCAAATTGAAAAAAATTAGGCCTAACGTACTTAGAAAAAAATGACAGTTGTAACATTTTTCTATCTTAACAGTCGTACATATAGTAGGCCTAAAAACATATACTTCTTGTGTCAAAATCAAACTTTTTTACCTGATGTTGAGGGCCTACAATTTTCACAGAGCCAGCCATCCAAGACAGCGCATTGGCCGTCCACGGGTAGGCCTGTACATTCGGGGTGCCACCATTTGCCCTCGCTGTCATCACTGACAACTACAGAAGAAACATCCTCGCCAACCATAACATCAAAATCCTCGTCTGACCAGTCTGAAAAATCGTCTGGAACATCAAAATTAATGTCTTCAATTTCTGCGATGTCAACATCAGTGTGCATTTGTGGTTTCGCCGCCATGTTGGAAAAATCCTATCGGTCTTGAAATGCGCATGCGCACTTGTGAAGACAAATTGCCCACAGGCTCCACAGGGCCAGCCAGGCGCTCCAATTACTGTTTAGATAAAGGTCGTAAAACAGCGCGATTTTGCCGCAGGGCAGTGTCGGCAACCATCCTTTCACTTTTGAAGTCTTAAGAGTTCGAACTCCATGGGTTTGTAGCTCTATGGTTGTACAAGGGACTGTACATGAAAATCACGCATTAAAAATCATGATTTATATACTTGTGTTGCAAAGGGCTGGTTCCTAGGCCAGGATTATGCATTTGAAACGATTAACTTAGACACAGCAACAGTCCAGCGGCTGAGTCAAAAAAATTTCAGTTAGTGGAGAAATTATGAAACTGGGCAAATTTGTAGGGGAACCATGTGGGGTCATTTTTTTATTAGAACCCAGCTCTGAAACG